CACAGATGCCACGGAGGGGAGAGAGGATGGTGAAGGAAGGCAAGGCGAAAGCACCTTGGAGCTCCTGTGTCCCACCTCTCATGGCAGCAGCAATGATCCACATGTGAGCGGGACAGAGCAGCACAGTGATCTCCTGGGGAATCAAAACATGAGTTGACCCTTGTCTGTCCAGGGGAAATGGAGAATAACAGAGTTCAGAAGTTTGCACAAGGAGATAAAGGGATAGGAGCTGCACAATACACAGAACCCAGGATTTCCACCTTGTAAATGATTATCTTGAACCACCCTGAGGAGGTAAAGCTGATTACTCACGCTAAACAGATCTGAAAGCCATAACTCTGAAAGTAACAAAATCTTAACAGAAAGGTACTCAGAGATGAGGTTATAAGATAATCTTGTCACAAAAATTGCTTGTGTGAATCTTGGCTGAATAGTAAAGAACCATAAGGAATGGAAAGTGTTTTGGTTTTGTACCAAATGATACATATAGCCATAGCAAAATCGCTATATTAATGGAACAGATAGCTTAGCTGGAAAGTTTAGTCCATTTTTTTCCTTCTGTTTTATTTTGATTTATTTTTGCTTGATGAACTAATGGAAGATTGAGGGATGACTCATGCCAATGGGTCATGTCAATATAAGAACATTTTAATGGAGGCACCTCTATTGGCTTCTTTCATCTATTAGGAAAAAAGATAACAAGAACCAAAGGTTGCCACTTACATTCAAGATTCTTCTGCGGGTGACAGACCTTTGCAAGCACACTCTTAAACTTGTAACGTCTTAGATCACAACAGCATGTCTTCTAGAAGCAAGGACTTTTTCCTAGACTCAATTCAGCAGTAACAGTATGAAGTTTAATGGTTTGTGATATAAAGCCTGTCAGAGTAGTTCATGCAACGTTTTGGCCTTGAACTCTAGAGACATTGCTAATGCTTCGATTAAAGGAAGATTTTGAGCAGACAATGATTTACAAGGAGGGTCTATAGCTTTAGGTTATGCAACCATAGATGGTGAGCAAGCTCACTTTACCTCACCCATTACTCTTTCCCAACGCTTTATCTGTGTGTTAAGATACACAGCTGCTGTAACAGCTTTTACTTGTAACCATGGCTTTCCCACAAATTCATCCATACCATAAAGGAAACTCTTTAAAAAGGGCAGCTTGCCTTCACCTGTCCATTTTTTAAGATACAAGAGCTCTGCACAAGATGTGAACTCCAAGGGATTTTGCTATTGACCCTTAAGAAATCTGAATCAATGTCAATGCCGACTACTACAAAAACAAGCTGACAAGCAATGAAGAGGAGGCTAACGGATATAGAAACTACCCAGTTTGAATCAAAACAGTGAGTAATTTTTCAGAACCTCAAAACCACAGATCCATCCTCAACTAAAACCTCTCTTGCGTTCTGCTAATAGATTGTACCACTGTTATGGTTTTTGTAAATTTCCAAAGCCATCATTTCCTTTTTAGGAGAAAGGAAAAAATATCTGGATCACCACAAAATTTGTAATGCTTATAGTATGTGCTCTAACAATTTCCATTTAACATGTAAGTGCAGTGTAGAGACTGAACAAATAAAATCTCAATTTAGAGGAAGGGAAGCTTTCAGTTGAAATAATAAGCACCTACAGCACTCAGATTCTGGATCTGGGTTGTTTTTAGTGGAACTAATTTGATGTGAGTCAGCCCTAAGTAACATTTTCAAAATGCTGCAGGACTTCATGAAAACATTTAACTAATTATTACTGGCATTTTGAGCCAAAAATCATATTTTTGTTTATTCATTGTATGTAGGCTATATATGCTCTATAGGTATGGAAAACAAGCTATGTTTGCAATAATCTATGATAAATACCACACTACCTATAAGTAAAAGGCTTGTGGTAATGTCCATGGCAAAGCCTTCTCCTTCAGCAGAGATTTCTTCACCTTCTGTTGCAGTAAAAGTAACAGAGCAACTAAAATGAACTAGCCTCTTGTTTCATCTGGAAAGTATTAGAAGTTGAACACACCTAACTACATGTGAACAGTGAAAAAGTTCACATCTCATTTTATGTGTCAATGTGAAATGTTTCACAGGGTCTTTTTCAGGGGCTGTATGCTTCTATGACCCAAATATCCCACTTTTAATTTGTGGCACTCAAATCCTTTTAGGCTTTTAGGGAGATGATCCTAGCTTCTGAGTAGCTACTTACAAAATATAGTCATAATTAAGTATTGATAATGTACTTTGCTTTATAACACATTTGCTCATAGGTTTAAGGCTAAAAGGAAATGGCTGGCTTAGGTAACGGTTATTAAGTTTTAGCCACTTGAATCTTTTGAGAAATAAAGGATTAAAAGCAGATTTGGAGGTTTTTCTATTCATGCAGAAGTTTGTAGAAGTTATACAAAAGATAGTTTTACAGGAAAAAAAAAAAGTCAGAAGAGGCATTACTGATGAATGGACAGAGAAAACAGTGGCATCGTGACTCACTCACAGCGAAGTGATATCCTTGCAGTGACCTCATCCAACTATTTGGTCATCTCCAGTAATGAAAATACAGCATAACAGGAAAAGAGCCTTTAAGAATAAAAAGGAACATTTCTTTTCACACATCACAAGCTAAAGAGAACTAAAAGAGAAATAGTCCTCTGATCACATTTCCCCTTAATGAAAAATTAATAAATAGGAAACTATAGAGGAAGAACAAACTGAGATGTCTTAATTAGGAGCACAGTTGCTGCAAAGGTGAAATTTCTATAAGAACACATTAAGTAAAGATATCCTGACTTCATCGTGTATGAAATATATTCATAATTGATTTTGAATTCCTAGTGGAATTTACACAATATATTCCATCAAACTAGCCAGATTATGTTCTCATGGTCTTTCTTCCATGGTTTTTAAGGATTGTTAAGGAAAATAGGGTCAGCAAAGACTTTTCTGAAGATGAATCTATTGCCGTATTAACTGGGCTTTAGATCTGCTTCCCCAAACACAGGCTTAAAATGCAAGTGTTTCATGGGTCAGCACAGAAGGATTAGGAAAGCATATAAAGGGAGGCTGAAAGAACAATATTATAAAACGAAGCGCAAAGACAAGACAAGAAATATTAGAAAAGGAAAATCTACTATGCTGTATCTTACCCATCAAAGGCAGGTAATTCTTCATCTTAACTATGCAATTTATATAGTTAATTTAAAACAGCCATCAAGAAGGAAACTGTATGAATGAAAAATTCTCAGCTGAAATTTGTATGACCAATATTTTTTTAATCATGCGTTGATTGAAAAATATCATCACGTTTGTTTAATAAGGTTTTTCTACCAGTTATGGAAGATATGCATGATCTATCCTTTTGCTGCAGTTGGATCATTTGCTGAATACTTCTGTCTGCTGCCCCATCCACAGTTAAGGCTACGGTTTAAGTTTTCCTTGGTCAGTTGAAACTAATGATGCAATTTTCAGATAAGCATCATACTGTGCAGGAGAAACTCCATCTGGCCTCCATTTGTTCCTATTTTGGACAACGTCAGCTTTGTTCTCTTTCATATTTCTAGTTCCTGATCCCATGCACACTGCCGCACCTCCTTATCTTAATTCACAGTGGTAAACTGCTTTAAAAGGAAAAGTTTTCACATTCACCTAACCCTTTAGCTATTTTACGGAATTCAAATGGTAATTATGGTCTGCCATCAGCTGTTTCCCAAAATGCAAAGGGTTCTCCCACAGCAGGATGACAGGAATGATGTCAGAACCTCTAAAGAATGAAACTTGGCCTTCAACTTGAGTAGATTGGTATTACTTCAGGAGCACAGGAGCTGCAGTGCAGGGAGTGCTGCCTCTTTTCCATTCTTGGTGGAGGGCAGGGAATCATACCCGGCTCTTCCCGGGTCACAGAGACCCCCACTGGCTAGGAGGCCTAGAGGCATCAGCTGGAGGATTTGGGGTGAACCCAACATCCAAGCTCCTCTTCTCCAGGAACTTGCTCGCCTTGACTCCTACCTCCAATCAACCTACTCCTTTATCATGACTTTTCGTGCAGCGAGACAATTTAGTTCCTTGCATGGACATGCCTGTTAAATCAAGACTAAATTTAGCAGAGAATTCAGTAATGAAAAGTCATTAAAAAGGCATTTATTCCAAAAAAATTGATATCAGGAAAACAAACAAACAAAAACCCCCCACAACAATCTGTGTTAGACCCTTGTACCAACAATGATTAAGTTTAAATACACAAAGCACTTTTTAAAATGTCATGTGTACACTTTCCACATGGGCATTTCACACTTATCCCCACCCGGAGTTGGAAGAGAGAGAGCTTCTCTCCTGTAAAAAAGGGAGGCATCTGCCATCAGAGATAAGGAAACATTCTCACAGAAACATAAAGATCCATTTTAAGCAGTTACTCTTTTAGTGCATGCGTTTTAGCCCAGTTAAAACAGCATTCTCATCCAAGCTGTAAGATGCATTCTTGAACGACATCCACGGAACAAGAAACAGACAACGTAAAGCTGAGTAGTTCCAGATTCTGAAAAGAGAAAGCTGTAAGAGCAAAAATGAACAAATGCTTAAAGTGAGCTTACAGTCACTGCTGAAAAACTGTTCCTGGGATGTGTTTTTACTAAATATACATGCACTCAACCACCAATGAAAATCTTCAGACCAAGCGAATTCCTATGTGTTGTGGAAGAAACGTTGAATCCAGTAAAATGTTATAATTCAGAGATAATCCTGCATCTTTGGTTGCAATCATTAAGCTAACATATTTATTAAGAATATTCTATTGTGGACATAAGGTAGTTAAAAAAAAAAAATGAATGAGTCACTTGGCTTGAAAAGCACAGCAGCATTGAGGTCTGAGTGCTATTTGTTAGCTCATGTCTAGCTGTGTAAAATAAGTTGGGAAATAAAAGTCTGTTTGTGATTTGTTTTATAATATAACATGTTTTCCCTCCGAAACACAAATATTCCTTGTGCAAGGCTATGGCTAGTGGTCTGAACTTTCTCAGGTCTGCGAAACACTGATCATTTTTCTCATCCCAAAGGAATAGTAGATGGGTTGTCCTTGTACAAAATATGGTATCCACCTGCACTTCATTACAGAGCTGCATTTTTGTACATACCACACCACAAGATCACTATGATGACATAGCAGCTTCAGAGCACAGCGTGACTAGGGCTTTTTTTTTTTTTTTTCCCTCTTGTAACACAGAGGATCTGGCAGACGTTTACCTCCTGACACTGTTTACAGCATATATTGGTTGATACAGTCCCTTATTGCATCTGCTCTGGGAATTAAGGAAAGCAGCTTCAAGGCGGTAAGGTAAGTGCTGCTGCATGTTTTAACTGTAATGTTCAGCTATTTGAATGTAGCTGTAATGAGAACATGAAAACATGTCAGGACAAGTTTGCCAATTCGAAAATTGAACACAAATCAACAGTAGTTTAGTGCATTTGCCTTCTTGGGTTCCTTAAAACAACCTCACATATTTTGTGCACCAACATTGCTCTTTTTTATAGCCTGCTATTCTGCTTCAAAGGAAGAAGTGGAACACGGTGCAGAGAGGTTGTTAAAAAGCTACTCATTCTTTATTACAGTGGGTAAAGAACTCACTGTTCTTTATTACAGTGACTAATAAAGAATGAGTAGCTTTTTAACAAATCTTTTAGTAATAGTTCCATACTGATTCTCTTCATTTATTAAGTTACTTGGGCTTCATTTCTCAGAAAGATGAGGTATAGAGATATTGAAACCAAGCAAGCAATAAAAGGAAAGTTAAAGGTAGTTTGTCATTTTTAGTTAATCATTTTAAGGCACATTTTAAGTAAGTACCCTATTGAAACTTTTTAATAGTAACTCATGCATATAATTAGTTAAGGATAGTTTATATAAGTATGTTTATTAATTTTATTTCATGACAACTTTAGAGTCAGAGTGGTAAAGACTAGTTCCAAAATAGTTTGTCTTTTCTACTGCAGTAAGCATTTTCCTAAATTTGTGTATGTTCTGTATGACTCCTGAGTCTGTATGACTCCTGAGTAACTTCACAATTGTTTTCACAAGTATTTCACAAAAGATCTGAAAAGAATGCACATAGACAATTAGTTTAAACATGCTTATGTTTTAAGATAAGCACGTAAGAATGTAGCTGATGTTATCTTTTGGATTCATACAGTTCAATGTAACAATCAAGCATGTGTGCACAATATAATTACCTTTTACTTGTCTGACAGAGAAACATTTAGATGTATGTACAAAGAACCCAGCAATGAAACAGCTGCACTGTATATTCACTTTACTGGGCTGTTTTGTGACATACATGCTCATATGCATTTCCATTACAAAATAGTCATCACATTTTTGATATGTTGACAAAATCATTCAAAAAGCTATATTCTAACTCATTATATTACTTCAGGGCTTTGCACAGTATTTAAATGTTACAAATCCCTTAAAAGAACTGTCAGTCTATGAAATCAGTAATAAACTTAAGCAAAACAAATATAATTTCAGATCACAAAAATGATGGAATTTAAATCTAAACTAGGACATTTATACTACTGTATCCACGGGACTCTAAAATAATGCAGATGTGTAAAAATATCTGTAAGGCCAGAGAGTGCAGTGCTATAAGCTGACTTCACTCTGCCTTACACCTGGGAATACAGAAACAGGAGCAAGTTCCTCCATCCTTAATGTTCCGTACCTAAGTAGGGTCAGAATTTGAGCTGAACTGCATGAGTGCAGCTTCTTTGCCTCCAAAGTACAGTAAATAAGCCATACTTATTTACACCAGCAGGGGACTGCAGGCTGAGCTGGTGTGTTCACATACAGTAATGAACAACAGACAAAGAAAACTGCACTGACAACTCACATTTCAAAAATTCCCATTGATTCCCCTATGCTATAATTTCTAATTAGGCAAATAGGACAGGAGCACCACCATAGGAGGGATATACATCCTTTAATCCAAAGTCAGCAACTTAACATCCAGCAGGGGGACTTGGTGAATGACGAGGCATAGGAAACATTGGAACATTTTTTTAACAATTTCTGTGCCATTCTGCAAGAGATCCAAAGGTCCTGCTTAGTGGCATTTTGTTACAGATTATTAGCCAACCTCAACGGGGCATGGCTTTTACCATGTCAACAAAAACAAGGAAATTTAGAACAGGGAAAACTTTCTAGCTGTTACTCTGCATTTTAACAGTGTCCTCTGTATAACACTAAATGATAGATAACCAGTAACAAGACTAACTTTTTCTGGTGGAGGCTGGCCTGCATTGGAGATCAACATCTGGTGCTCTGTTTACAAGCTGTGCATGGATACTTTCTGGAATTATTCAAAAACGTCGGGGATTATAAGGATTTTCCTAGACATCTTGTGCTTTGAGCTGAGCTCAAGTATACTGAGCTTTGTCTTTTACTGGCGTAAATCAAAGTAAGCTCCCTGACTTCAGTGTAACTGGAGTGAATTATATTGTCCTGCTCAGCATCCATCTAAGTTGTAAGAAATAACAAGATATTAATCTTCACAGAAAAAAAAGAACTCTTAAAAAGGAGAAACCACCTATACTGGACCACAGCACAGAGGTACTCAACATCCTTTTGCTGTATGTGAATTTAAAGGCCAACTATGTGAACCAAGTACTTTACAGATTTAGAACTTAATAGTCACAAAATGCAATCAATCAGCATTATTTATTTTTATTTGATTTTAATAAAAGAGATTCTTTGAGGCCATTCACATTACCTGAAGTCCAGCCACTGGATGTCCACAGCAGATCTGGACCAGATAGATAGAGTATACTCAGGCACACCTTTGCAGTGCTGGGTGTTTGACAAGTCCAGAAGAACACACTCTGTATTTATGTTAGGTTCTTCTTTAGATGAATATAAAACTTAGTGGGTAACTGAAGCACGATCCACTTCAAACTATCAGGCTATGGTCTTTTATCTTTCCTGGCTTTTCTGAATTTGCGCCAAATCACCACATGTTATTTAAATGTGAGGCATTTCAATATATTAGGGATAGCAAGGAACAGTTGATAAAAACTGAATGGCAAAGCTGCCTCTGAACATTACCTTGAGCGAAAATGAAAACTCTTCAGTGACAAGACTGAAAAACTTGGATTGTTTTTCTTCTTGTAACCTAATGAATGACTGACTGACTTCATAGTGATGTTGAAAATATGCTACTTACTTCATCAAAATGACCTGCAATTTCATGCTACAAAGGCAGATTAAAATACGACAAGGACTGAAAGTTACAGTAATTTACAATAGCAACAAAGCAGTACTAACAAAACAATACTTTTTTCTTAATTACTGTCTGTAAGTGGGAAGCTGGAATTAATTAGCTTTGAATCATAATTTTATATGGTGAATATTGGCGGGGAGAAGAGGGATTCAAAATTATAACTTTTTTTTTTTTTTATTCCTCTCTACCATACAGGAAGGAGACGCATTGCAAAGATGACTCTAAACTCCCTACCTGTCTTTCTGGTATTGATTAGTGGCATTTTTTGCCAATATGACTATGGTCCTGGAGATGATTACGGTTATGATCCTTTTGGGCCTTCTGCAGCAGTCTGTGCCCCAGAATGTAATTGTCCTTTAAGCTATCCTTCTGCCATGTATTGTGACAATCTTAAACTGAAAACCATTCCAATTGTACCTAGTGGAATAAAATACCTTTATCTCCGAAACAATATGATCGAGGGCATTGAAGAGAATACATTTGATAATGTAACAGACCTGCAGTGGCTGATCCTAGATCACAACCATTTGGAAAATGCAAAAATTAAGGGAAAAGTGTTCTCTAAGCTAAAAAATCTGAAGAAACTTCATATTAACTATAACAATTTGACTGAAGCTGTTGGACCCCTCCCCAAGATGCTGGATGATCTGCAGTTAAGTCACAACAAGATCACAAAAGTCAATCCCAGTGCACTCGAGGGGCTGGTGAATCTGACTGTCATTCACCTTCAGAACAACCAGCTGAAAGCAGAGTCTATTTCTGGGGCTTTTAAAGGCCTGAATTCACTCCTGTATCTTGACCTAAGCTTCAATCAACTTACAAAGCTACCAACAGGACTGCCTCACTCCTTGCTCATGCTGTATTTTGACAATAACCAGATCTCCAATGTTCCTGATGAGTACTTCCAAGGTTTTAAAGCCTTGCAATATTTACGTTTATCCCACAATAAATTAACAGATTCTGGAATACCTGGCAACGTCTTCAATATCACATCACTGGTTGAGCTGGATCTCTCATTTAATCAGCTGAAAAGCATTCCTACCGTCAGCGAGAACCTCGAAAACTTCTACCTCCAAGTCAACAAAATAAACAGTGAGTTAAATTTGCACATTTTTATTAATGGTTATCATAGCCAAGGCACTCCTGGTGGATGTATCTCAAGGGGCACTTCAACCAGTCTAAAGGCCAGACTGTTAGCACATTGGCATTTCCCTCTTTGTTATTAAAAATATTGTTAGAGGGGCATTTCACTGATTGATATCCAAATTAACAGTACAGATTGGCAGTTTTAGTTTTTATAATACATAAGCAGAATGATTTGTTGAGTACTATAGATCCTTATCTCATGTGAATTGGAATAACTATAGAAGTCAACTGAGCTGTTTTATACATTTGAGGAAAAACAAAATGTTTAATGCATGCTGAAGATGTTCAGAATTTTTAAGACAACCAAAAGAGACTGATATCCAGTGCAGATGAAACTGCAGTATCTGTTGCTATTCAAAAAGCTGATAGTGAATGTGTTGCAGAGGTGGAGAGATGGAGGAGAAAAAAACAAAAGGGCCCAGGCACATGGTAGAGTGAAAAAGATACCACAAAGTAGCTGCTTTATTCTATTTGCACCCTCCCCCCCACTACTCCTCACATGCAGAATCCCTTGAAACACACCTTGAACTTCTGAAGAGCTGCCCCTACTGTTTCCTCTTTTATTCCCATTTCCAGATGACTAGTTTGACTCCATTCAATCACAATTTGAAAACAGTTCCTTTTAAAATCAATTAATATCACACCTTGCATGAGATCATGGAAGTCCATAAGGCAAATAAACTTCTAGTGAGACCAGGCTTTTCCTAGGCTGTTTTAATCCTGGCGTGGGAGCATCTGCCCAGGTAGACAGCTGGAGAGAACTAGGACAGCTGGAGCTGCCCTCACTTCAGAACCATCTTAGGCAGCTGGGCCCGAACAGAGAGGTAGTACACATCAAACATCACTGTTTTTTTTTTTTTTTTTTCTTTAGGGCATCTTACATTACCAATATGACTCCCCAGATGCTCTTCTATTTGCCTATTGGTAACCTTTATGGGACTTTCCTAGGATATTAGTGTTAGCTAACAGATATAATTTTTTCCATGTTCCACACAGACATAGCTATTGTAGTAAAGCAATAATAATGCAAGTCTTGCTAGAAAGATGGAAAGGCCATCTTTTGAAAAAAAATTTTTTTAAATCATGTTTTCCTTAATGTGGTGACTTTTTTTCCCTATTACATATCAGCTTCTCATTTTGATCCTCCCATTTTGAGGGAAAGCAACGGATTGCCACTATCTACATTAAGCACCAAATATAGCAAGCTCTATCACTCATCCTAAAAGAGCTAACAATGACGATGGGTAAAATTCGCATCACGTGATATCAGAATTACCACTTTATGACTTAAATGGAGCAAATCTTAATGCTTACAGTGGTTGGTTTGAGCCTTCTGCAAGCTATCTAAGCATGAGTTTTCATTCATTTCCAAGGACTTACGCTTAACCATGACGACAAATGACTTTTTCAATGACACCTGTACTTCCAGAGCACTGGGCATCATCAGCAGGTGGTGGTGTGGGGAATAGGTGTCCATTAGTTACTTACTGCTTCTGTATTGAATGACATCAGGGAATTATGATTTATTGGTTTTGCTTACCTAGAAAATGTGGCAAGTTTCCATAAGTTTTCTTAACTCATTAATTTCACAGACACAATATTTTATCCCTGATATACTAATCATCAGCAGTGAGTGACAAGATTTTGCTGGTAATAAGCATTTCAATTTAAGGAGATACCAGATACATAGAAAGCAAAGCATTTGCAACTGACTGATTGCAGCCAACCTAGCCTTCTGAGTGATTAGACTTTATAAAAAATGAATTGACTGCATTGACATTTGAGACTCAACAAATAACTTTTCTAAAAAGAAAACCTCCATTGCTAGAGATTTGGCTAAGGATTATTATAAACAATGACAGCTTTCCTTCCATTTCTTCACACCTATGTTACATATGTACTGTGAGGGAAAAAGGTCTGTCTTAAGGCTAATGATAACTTGTTCAACAGTTAAAGAGGATATCGATCCTTCAGATTATGTTTACATAGCTTGAAATTTTCACTTATACTGAAAGCCAACATAAATATACTTCTCCAGAGTTCTTTATTTGTTGTTGTTTGCCTTTTTCTCAGATACCTTTAAGATTGCAAATGAATCTTTTTATTCTTCTCTGAGCCCATCTGTTTACTGAGGAGGAGCCACCTGAGTCCAACCTTTCAATATTACTGAAGAGAAAGGGAAATAGTTCTCCAAATTATGTCAATGGATTTCATCCTGGGCTTGCTGTAATCATTATGCATTACCATACATCAAAAAATATCTGAGAAATGTCTTATTCACTTATTTCAATGACTTTGAGCTTATTGAACAAGGGTTGATATGCACCAAGAGCTTTCATAATACAATCATCAGCTTCATTTCATTGTGTTCTGTTCTCGTTCCTTTGTGATATGAGGTATAATGGGCAAGGAGGATAGCAAATTAGGATGTCAACAAATTCATACGATTTTTTTCTAATTTCTATCTAATAAATCAGAGCACAACCTCTGTATTGCATGTAGCTGAGTACTAGCCCACCCCCCATACTAATCTAGTATCCCCATACTAGATAGCAGCTGGATATCCAAACTAACATAGGATCATGGAAGGCTTATAAATACCTTTGCCTTCTCCAAACCTCAGGTTCTCAAGTTCAGAGAGAATGTCTAAGATTGAGCCTCTACTGGCTGGACTGATAACTGTAGCATAATCATATTTATTCTAAATAAAGCGAGTTGTGGGAATGCTTTATGGCCTTCTGTCTGGTTCTCCACCAAACCCAAAGAGAATTTTTACCATGGTCTATGCGGAAATGACACAGATATAATCACTATGGCAGATGTGAGCACATACCAAGCATTACTATGTGGCTGTAGATCTCAAAATGATTTATCAAATCTATTGCATACCTAAACCCAGAACCCTAGCATGGTTAATCCTCCACTCAGTTTAAGGTTGTTTACTCTCCTGCTGTACAAGAATCTAGTCTTGCTTAGGATATAGTCAAAATCAATTCTGTTAAAATTCTGCCTAGGATATCAGAATTTCTTATAGAGACAGACACTTTCAGTGATAACATAATTGTTTAGATGAAATCTGTGTTACTATCTCTCTTCTTGGCTACGCAGGAGTTCTGTGCTGACATAATAAGAACGTCACAACAGTGGCAAAATTACAGGTTAATCTGGAATTCTGTAACTGAATTTTCTTAATTCACAATGACATTTTAGGAGGAACATCTGTAACATTAATCACTACAATAAAGAAGGAAGTGAGAGAGTGGTGTATGAGTGTGAGACTATTCCCAAACAGAACATCCCAGTTCTGCACATGCAGCACACTAAGTGTACTCACAAAATCCACTTACCTTACGTGCTGCTAGTGGAGATTGCAATCGGAAAGCAAACATTTTTAGTATGCTTCTAACAATTGACAATTATATGTACTGTATAATATGTTAATATCCAAATGCAAACACTATGGGCCAAGCATTGGAGGTTGTACTTGAAAGTCCTTGGCTGACTTCATTAGACTTCTCTAAATACTAGATCAGATTCTGCTTTCAGAGAGCTGCAGTCTCTTAGGAACTGTCTGCAAAATTTGTTGATTTAGTAACAAAGATAAACAGTGTAATTTACATGTGTGAGGTTTACATAGTTTAAAAAGTTGGGCATCTATACCCAAATTGTATATACATATTGTATATACATACACATTTTGCCATTAAATGCTTTGTGGTAGCAAATACAATACTAACAATAACAAATATTGAAAAATGAGTAAGTAGATTTAGATTTGCTATTTAGCATTGCTATTTGCAGAAAAGTAGACCTAAGTAATTAATTGCATAATCTCTAGGCCAAAAAAAAATAATTCAAATTTGTTTTCAATATTTAGAAAGGAAGACATTTGAATACTTTTGCTAAACTCCACTCAAAAAAATGCCTTTTTTTTTTTGAGAAAGCCACGCAAATCATTACCCATTCTTCAGTATCATAACTCTGTCTCCACCAAGTTACCTAAGACTTCATGCTTTAAAGAACTGCCTATACAAATGGGTATACCTTTGTACTTAATTCACACCAGCCATATTTTATCAATGACAGCAGATGATTCTAGTGTCAGAAGAATCTCATTGAGGTTAAAGCAGTAATATGAAAGGAAGTTCCTCTACTTCCTTTAGTATTGCAGCAGACAAGCTGTAATGACAAGCTATCTTAGCTGAGTTAGTGTCACGCAGCAGGCTATATGTATAAAGAGAATTTAGAAGAGGCTACTATTGGAATTCACAAAGGCATGTGCTGCCGATTTTGAGAAGACTACCCTGATTTCTCAGAAGACAGTCAATGCAACATAAAACAGTAAGGGGGAACATAAAACCTGAAGGTGTGAAATTTGCCCTCATACTTCTAAATGAGTCCCTTTCACATATTTGAAATTTGAACAATATCAAAGGGCCTAAGAGGAGTGAGACCCTCACACTACTTCTCTATCACTGATGGTGCTTTTCGATAGACTCATTCTCCGACTTCCTTAATCAAAACATACAGAGATAAGAATACGGGACCATCTTTGCAGAATCACTCATTGTGGTATGCAGGAATATTAGATTTATTTGCACACATCATCTCTTGAAGATAAGTCTTTTCTGAATGCCAGAGGTGTACAATATGTATGTATGTCTGCTTGTGTATATGAAGCACAGAATTTCTCCTTTTAATTTCTTGCTGACAGTCAATATTTCATCTCATAAAATTCAAGACATAGTTTTCCAGTCCAAATCTGCTTGGTGCTATGCATTTCAGCTGAGCAAAGAGAGTGTATAGCATGATATATCAAGTAAAAAAAAATTTCTAAAAATATTCTTTACATTTGCACTTGTCTTCTAACTCTGTTGTTATGGAAATATTAAGTTACACAATTTTAAAAGCACAACTCCTTCTCTATCCTCAAATTTCATTTTTAAACTAGTAATTGAAAACAACATATATAGAAAATACAGCATATACTGGATTAACTCTTCATAAGGGTAAAGCCGTATTCGGTTTTTAATTTTTCCAGAGACGTTTCACCTCCTTCATTTTTTTTTATGTAGCCCTATTTTTCCTTCTCCACTATAATATACCCAGCATGATTTCTTCCTCCCTCTGCAGCCCCAGTTGCACTGTTTACTCATATTTTCTTTTTTTCTAAATGACAAATTGGACCTCTAAACATAAGTCAAGGTCTTAAAAATCAGATGGATACTGGGAACATGGAGCACTTGAAAAATTCAGTCTTAAAATTCTGAACATAATTAATGATAAGAACCTCTCCTCACCCAAAACCCTCAAAGTCCAGAAAACTCATGAAATTATATCACTTGACACTGAAAATATTGCAAAATAAAACAGTAAATTCAAGATCACAGTTATAAATTCAAAATAAAAAAAGAAAAGAGAGAAAAATAATATTTTCTGTTCTGATTTCAAATTACTTGTGGTTTCTCTTATTCATATTTCCTTTGCATTTCAGAATTCCCACTGAGAAGCTTCTGTAAGGTTACCCTCAAAGTCCAGAAAACTCATGAAATTATATCACTTGACACTGAAAATATTGCAAAATAAAACAGTAAATTCAAGATCACAGTTATAAATTCAAAATAAAAAAAGAAAAGAGAGAAAAATAATATTTTCTGTTCTGATTTCAAATTACTTGTGGTTTCTCTTATTCAACTGAGAAGCTTCTGTAAGGTTGTTGGACCATTGACCTATTCCAAAATCACACATTTGCGCCTGGATGGAAACAATCTCACTCGGGCTGACCTGCCTCAGGAGATGTACAACTGCCTTCGGGTAGCAGCCGAGATCTCACTGGAGTGAGGCACCTCCTTTCTCCTTCTAGGGGTCAAAACTAAATGAATTACACCACAATAGTTGTTTAAAATTAGGATATGCCTTTAAAAAAGTATCAATCTGCGTATTATCCATTCTGTTTGTTAATATTTAGCATGCACTTGGCAACCTTAAGGAAGTATCTTTGTGCATATTATTTACAAATGACCACATTTATAAAGTTTATGAATGGCTTGATTCAGCACAAGATAAGCCCTCATCTGGCCAGTAAGACAAAAAAAAAAAAAAAAGTTCAGTCTTGTAGACATCTATGTCTTTGCATGCAGTACATTGCCAGCCAGTGACAGACTTAAGGTGAAGTCAGAGGGATTTCAGCACAATGCTGAGCAGGATGAGCTAGCATGTGTAAATACAAGATTCTCCTGCAAGCAAGCAAAAACTCTGAAGCATTCATGCCTTTCCCAAATTTTTATCATTTTAAAATGAAGTCATTTAACAACATAAAAGCAATTTAAAACGTATGAAAAGAATTGTAAGAGCCTATGACAATAAGGAATTAGTGGAATAAGTGAAATATAGTAGGGAAACAAGAACATTTTTCCAGGTAAAAAATATTTACTCTTCTTGTTGTCATACTTTCATTTAAACTTTCATGGCAAGTTTTTTATCCATTACTGGTAGAATTATTTCAAAATAAAACATGTATACAAGTATTTTAGTCAATTACTTGCATGCTACTCTTAACCAGACTGTGTAGAAAATAAAACATAGCAAATAGTATTGTTGTATCTATATGATTGTCAACTATGTTTCAGTCTGTTATAAATTGGAAAAAAAAGTTCAGGTTAAAATAAAATAATCTAAGCTATTATATTTTGAAAAAGTTATTGCAAAAAGTTATTATTAAATAAACCTTTTTCTTTAATTTCCAGTTTCAATAAGTTCATAAACATATGATTTTATGCACTCCACTGCCATTGAGTTCATGCCTTATGGAGTTTACATTATGGGAGTCATAGCACTCTGAAATTGTCTGAATTAATTTACCAGTATTGTCAAAAGAGCAATGAAATACCTCAGAAGTTATAGGCAATAAGTAAAATGCAGTCTCAAGCACTCATACCAAAAAAAAAAAAAAAACCCAAAAAACAACAAAAAAAAAACACGAGTACATATTATCTGGGAATGAGTTGTCCAAATATTGTCTGTGTTCTGGAACACACACTAAAATAAATGTGCCAGTAACTGAGAGCCATAAATGGCTTTCTTGCAGACACAGACCATCCCATGGGTACTGTTTTCCCTTCAAATACTAGACTATTAAGCACTCAAGCAGAAACTCTTCTAGTTTTCATAGCAAAACCAGAAACTATCACCTCTGGGGGGGAAAAAAAAAAAAAAAAAAGCCTTGTAGTCCACACATTGACAGCTCCAGATGTTCAGAATCAATGTGCATCAGAAAAAAAAAATGAGAGTAGAGCAAAAGTAGAGATGCAGGAGACAATGGAAGTATTTCTCTTGTTTAAAATAATCTAGAGTTTTCACATCAGAATAAACATCAGAATCTAAAAGCTAGGGCTTTCTTATATTCACCAAGTAAAGTGGGAATAGATAAAACTAGCGAAAAAAAAGAACCACTTATTCCTGCTTGGCTTTGTGAATCTATTTCAATCTCTCATTTTCTATTTTTCTAGTTGACATTTCACATTCAGTGATATACAATAATGTATCCATGCAGTCTACATAACAACAGAATCTGCTTCAGTTACAAATAAAGCATCCAGAGATGTTCATGAGGCATTTTAAAATGCTGTTCAATGGGCAAAGGAGAAAGAAGCCCTCAGTCAAAAAAGCAAACAGTACCAATGACCTCCCTTGAAACCTGGGAGACCTTCATCTTGCTACAAACACTTGGACAACAAAGAGAAAAGGGCATTTGGCTGGAGGCTTTTATGTCGAACACCTCTGCCTTGTGTTTCAGAGAGTCTCAGTGAGTTAGGGGACAGATGACATTGCACATCTCACTCACTGCATTAGGAAAATCCAACAACAGCAAAATTCTTCTAAAGAAGAAAAGGGTCACAGCACTGTTTTGGTTTCATGTAAGACAACAAACGCATAGGTTTCTGCTTCTACATCAGTGAATTGCTTCAATTCCCTTTAAAAACTTCAATAAACCTTCAGAAACAGATATGCCACAGTATACACTGATTTTCTCCATTTATAAAAACTACATAAGTTGTTTTTGAGACACTGGAAAAAATGTAGGCATTTGGGAGCACTTAACATTGCCAGAATCTTGTAAATTGAGTCACTGTAACTTGCAATTTTCTGCTTTTTCTGAAAGAGAGGTCTATGGATCTTGGTTATGCAAGTTTCAGTATTCTGGATACTTAAATGCACAGTATGTACATCTTTGTTTCTATTTTACATGATTATATCATAAAATACTTTTGTGCACAAATATGAGTGTGTAACTTCAAAGCAGACAGACATACAAAATTGAATTGATAATAACACAGTCTCAAGAGTATGGAAAAAAAGGGGTAGGTAAATTATTCTGAACTAAACTCTTTTTAGAGCTACATAATATGCTGCCTATACAGTAGTTATACCATTTACTTACTCTGTATGACCCTCATTCTTTCCACAGGTTGAAATGGCTAATATTTACCATGACATTTTCATGTGAAATTTCATATGCAAGAACTGACAAAAATCAAGATGGTTTGGAAGAACTTGAATTTGAAAGCAGACCTAAAAAGGAAGGATGCGTGCTACTAATTTCATGAAAATCAGTATTATAGAGACAGAATACAAAATCAACTGACAAAAAGCTCACTGATGAAAATTCAGAAACTGATCTGTATTTATTCCATGCAATCTTGCACAAAGGTTGAGTCACATTTCAGATAAGTGCATTGCCTGATTTAAGATACCTTTTTTCTGTTCTTTTTTTTAAAAAAAAATATGTTAGACTAAATTAGAGAAACTCCCCAGAAGGAACAAGATGAGAGTCACGTCAATTCCTGGAAATATTCTGGAAGCACAAAACTTTAATGGCTTTAGAGAATATTTGATATTCCCCTAAGCAATCAGTATAGTTACATGCATCAAAAAGTCTGTGAGTAGTGATTTACTATGGGTTCAAGGAATGTATCAGTGTCTGCTAGCACTTTCTGCCTCCTTTGCAGCCCAGTGTCTCAGCCACTGTGGTGGAGGACAGTTCTTGCAGCTGTAGCACTTGCACGCTCAGGAACAAGACCCTGGCCCCTCATCCAAAGAAATTGTCCACTGAATAGAAATGAACAAAAACAGATGGATACAATAAACTTGACAGACAGTTCAAAGTGAAAAGTGACAGTTCATTATGGCCAGAGCTTTGTGTTCTAAGCTTTGTTGTTCAAGGGGGATTTATGTACTTGGAGTCTTCTGCATAGACTGGAAAACTGGAACTAAAAGATAGTGAGAATTGGGGTTTGTTCAAGTTGTGCATCTCATAGGTAAAATGAAACTGAAAACAGAATAATTTTAAAAAACTTTCCCAGAAATATTGAGATTTAGAAATTATATGTATGTATATAGATGAACTTGCATTTTACACGGGTTCAGTCTGGCTCTTAAGGGGTCTTCAATAAGAGACTGACTTGTGAATCCTGGCATTTATTATTCGCAAGCAACCACATAGGAGATATGTGGCATGAGATATGTTTCTAAAGCACATACATGGTCTTACACCTTTGCAAACAGTCTACAGTTTACCAGGAAGTTGTTTCTTTATCCCTCCTCTCTTTAACAGATTTCTAAGACAAAACAGGCACTATGCAAATAATTGCTGCATAAAACTAAATGCTGTCTGGATGTTGTTAATATACTATTTGATTTGAAATGATGACATCATAAAAACCAGGGCAGACTCCCAGTTCTCTAGGATGTAGGAAGAAGTTGAGAGATTAGGTTATCATACAGGCTTTCTATATGAAGATTGTCCCAAAGAACCTATTACACCTCCTGAAAACAATTTCACTTAACACCCTTGGCGTGCACTAACTTATTTAACAATCCAGATACTTCTAGATTTAACAGAACTGGTAAGTTAAAGAAAAAACAAGCGATATTTACAATACCAATAATGACAACATCTGAGACTGTGAAAATGTTTCCATTACCAATTTACGAATTACTTTCACCATCGTATAGTTACAACATTACCTTTAGCGATTGAATTTTCAAGTTTAGTGACTGAGAGAAAATCATTAAAAGTACATTAAAAATTTATTTTATCCTTTTCTGTAAAAGATCAACCTAGAAAGAGCATTGCATGTCAAACAATTCTAACATACTCCACAAGTTTTTTTTTTTGGCCAGTGATTTTGGCTCCCATGTTGAAAACTGGACATTTAGAATTGTCTTTGTTGCAAGGATGCAAAGGCACAATTTCAGTCTGGGAAAAGAAATGTTAGCAAAAGTCTCTCAAGTAGAGACTTTTATTCTAGACAGCATTGAGGCCTGATGATACAAGTAATTTTTGTAGGACATATCTCAACCTCTTCCAATACATTGGTTACAAGGAATTAGATCTTCCATCTAGCTATGAATGTTGGTTGCTTCAAATTCTCTCATGTCAATCTAACTTTGTGTGCATTTTTGCAGGTACATGGTCTGCTAGTCCCCGCTCAGTTTCACCTGAAAGCGAAGAGGTTGTTGCTTAGCATAATAAAAGTTGTTCTGAAAACCAGCAACAGGAAATTAGTCACCACTCTTTTCTAAAAAGCAAGAAATCTTTAAGAAAAGCAATCAGGACTGTTATTCCTCCAGCTGCAACAAGCAGTCGGAGGAACATATGGACTGAGAGGTTGTAAAGCAAAAAAAAATTTCAGCAAAGAACCACTAAGGTGAATGGCTGCAGACAGAACATCCCTTAGTCTTCCCCCTTCAAGGCTATGCGAGTTCAGTTCCCCTTAGGGTATATATACATAGATATATGTATCATATGCTTCAGCCTCATAATTGCAGCCTTCCACTGTCTTTTAGAGTTTTGTAGAAAAAATAAGGCAGACACTTCTCAAAGGTGCAAAATGAAAGGACAAGAAAACAAAGGACAAATTTCAAAAGAAAATTTCAGGTTGGTCTTAAGAAAAGTATTCTTCACAATAAGAGCATTAAGCACTGGCACTGGCAGACCAGGAAGGCTCTGGACTTTCTAGACTTGGAGATTTCCATAACTCCATTGTAAAATGTCCTGTGCGCCCTATGCCCTGAGAA